TTACAGTCTCAGCATTGTCAATACTTAGAAGATCTGGAGCTGAAATACAAAGAAAAGGAAAAAGAAAAGCAGCTAGAGGTAGGAAACGCTTATTCATGTTTAATTACTTGCTACATAAGGGAGATTTGAAAATATTTGAGAATACATGTGGTTCAGATCTGTTGTCCGTAGAGTTAATGTGAATCATAGTCAGCTTGCTGCTACGTAACAACAAAACAAGAGAAGTTCACTTGAAACATTTTTGCTGCTTATACATTCAAATACTTTTCCAGTAAACATATTCTATATTAAAATCAAAAGTATGCAATTTAGCCAGATAATAGGCTCAGATATCTTAAGTGCTATTATTAACAAATGCAAAAATCAAATGATCCAAGCATCCAGTCTAAAAAATCATAAAGAAAAAGGAGTCTGGAAATGGAATCATTGGTGGTATGTCCAGAAGCCCACTTGCAAGGCAAAGTTTCAAAGATGTATGCATTCCAAATCCAGGAGGGACCAACTGATGGACACAGTATGGTCCTCCCTTCTCCTAGTTCTCATGCTCTGTTGTTTTCTTGTTGGATACCATCTGGATGTTGTGCTATTGAAACATATGCTGATCTAGACCTACTCGGACAGTTTTCAAATTTGTGTATCTAGTGGATTGCATTCCCCTTTGTGGTAGTTGCTGTGGAGGGGACATGGGTAACTTGACAGTGAAGCTCAGATCTGCTTGGTTGTGCATGGGTGAATATTTGAAAGAGTTTGCAGCTGGTCTCAGGGTCTGGCACAGAGTCTGTGCTCCAGGCTTCAGCTACATGTCCTCTCATGCTATTGGACTCTGCTGTGATGAGATGACACAACCAGGAACATCTGCACAAGGCGGGGAAGGTGCACCTACATGAAGGGTGTGCCTGTGAGCCATAAAAATCCTAGTTACCAGTCTAGATGGCTATGCTGCCTCTGCACGGGTGGTATGTATGTCATTTATGTAGGAATAAGGTCAATATGTGATGAATTCAGAAGGTGCGGGGTGTGAGTAGAAGTGCAGACTGTGGGTTAGAGTGTAGTGGAGTATGTGCAAGAATCTCAATGGGTGGCTTAACTGGTCATGTTTTCTAGACTGTCTTGTGTGGAAGTCTTACTATAAATAAACAAATCAAGAATTATGTAAATATGGATAGGCATAAATCTTCTTCAAAGACATGGGAGCTATATCGCCTTCATCCATAAGCAAGTCCAAGAGTTCTACGCTACTCTCTTCTATTACC